CAGAAGGGTTTGGTGGATCCCCAAAGTCTAACCGCAATTCCGAATCATCAGAATCGTCATCTGAATACGGGTCATGTTTGACCGGGGAACCATGCCATGAAGGATGTGGTGAAGGATTCTGCCTTATCGATGGTGCTATTGGAGCGGGTGCTCGCTGGTATGAGGCAGCGGGTGGCCGAGTGCCGACGCCGCTGGACAACGGTAATCTAGGTCTTCGAGGGCTAGTTACGGAATCCCGCAATGTATTAACCTCAGCCCTTAACTCAGCAATGGTAGAGGCTAACTCCGTGCCATTGAGGATGTTTGGTGGTGGGTCCGAAGGTGGAGGCATGCTCTGATGACGAAGCACAGTGACCTCGTTCTGTAATGTACGGATTTGCGCAATCAGTTCAGCTTCCTTTTGTTGGAATGCCAATTCACGCTGCTGGACTTCTAGTCTCAACTCGGATCTGGCTTGTTCCACTGCTGCGGCTGCTGCTGCCTTAGCGATTGCCTGAGCCTCTAGAACCGCAGTCTGACCCTGATTGACAACTTGCGTTCCGAATTGCCTAGCCTCTTCCCTCGCTTGACCCTGGGCCTCCTGGACCACTGCTTGGGCCTGACCATAAACCGTCGACTCGAACTCTCTAGCCTGAGCCATCACCTCGTTAGGATCAAGTCCTATGCTGATGTTTTGTTGATACAACCTTACTCCCGAGCTATCCTGAACCCCAGACCCTTGGGAACCCTGGCCGGTAGGAACATATGGAATGCTCCGGGCTGGCGCAGCTCCTGTGCGCACAATGGGGCCATCATCTGGGCTCCGGTTGTGTGGAGATTGGTTGGCGAATGGCACCAACGAACCACTACCTGGGCCTTTGTCGGAGGCTGGGGACTGCTTAAGGTGAGGTCCTTTTCTTACTGTTGGCGATGGGGAAGAGCTGTGGCTACTACGCGACCCTCGGGATGACCTGGAGGAAGCTCTAACCGGCAATGCCCTAACCCCACTACTGGATGAAGTAATCTGCAAGGAGCTTTGCTCTTCTGACGACATTTCGTGGGACATGATTCAAGCAATTGGGGACTTAAGCGGGGTTGGCGACTGCCGAAACTCCCGTGTTCTTTTCAATCCCTTGCGCCCTCACCACCCAGAGATGGCGGGAAGGACAAGGTCGCACAGCTCTGTGCGGCGGGCCGGGTGAAGCACCAAGCCGTTCCACCCGTAGCGATCCCAGCCAGAAAACTCAGCACAGATTGACGGTTTGTCGTCCACGTGGACGACTGGGATCCCGTCGCTCAAAGATGAAGCTGAAATCGCCGACCAGAGTCGCTGGGCCTTGTTCGGTCGCCTGATAAAGAGAAGCGGCAGGCTACGCACGTTATAACGCGCTGACACTGCCACTTCGCGCACGTACTCCAACGCGTGCTCAATCAAGCTTTCCGTTGAACATTTGGAATTGACAAGGATCAGTATATTGCTGCGTCGAGACAGGTTCTCGAAAAGATAGCGGGACTGCAAGAAGGTCCTATCCAAAACTCCGTGGTAATCAAGGGAGAGAATATGGGTGACGCCTCCTTGCTCTTCGACCGCGCGATCAATTGCCGCAGCAAGATAAAGTGGATTCTCGTCGCACCGGAGCAATGAAAGTGGCTTGGGCGGCGGACCAGACGGCTCAACTGGACGCTGCTTTGGCCTGGCCTTCTGCTTGGGCCTCCGTTCTGGGATCTCAGGCGCAGCAGTGGGACCTGTTGCCGAAATGTGCTGCGTTAGCGCTGGTCTAAGAGGAGCAGAAGGGGGTTCAGGAGGAAGCGGCCTACCGGAGCTTAGCCTATCGGAACCACTTAGCACACTGAAGTCAGGCTGGTCACGAACAGAAGGCGATCGCGACCTGCGCTCAAGTGAGCTGCCCAAGTGGGAAGATGAAGAAGCTGGCTCGGCGGATGAAGATGCTGGCTCTGCTCGCTCTGAAGTGTCCAAAGAATCCAAAGAAACCTCGGCCAAATCCTGTAGCGAAACGGGCTCCTGCAACACCGAGTCTGAGTCAGACTCTTCCTCCTCCTCCTCCTTCGGAAGGAGAGGAGTCCCCTTGTAGATCACGTACCCAGACGCGGAGATCTGCGTAAGCCGCGCGCTTACTTTAAAGAACTTGGAGGCCAATGCCGGCACCTGCCCTGGAGGCTTATTGAACACTTCCTCGGCGAGGTTTGTCAAACTCTCTCGCCAAAGCTGAAGCAGCTTTATATGAAGTGAGCGGCGCTTATTGTTGGCGGCCTTGCCACCTCTAGAAGCGCGGGTGTCGGCTCCAAATGCCGCAGCAAGTCCAAAAAGCTCTTCACGGCGATCCGGTGACAGCATATACGGGTGAGACGAGGAAGCCGATTAACTCCAAGTCCCAATGCAAACCCCCGTGCCGTTAGAGTGGCTTGCAAATTTACCCCCGTGCCGGAACTGTGGCTTGAAGTTGATGTATCCCCCAATGCCGCTACTGTGGCTTGATGTTACCCTTTGCCTGAATCGTTGGCTTAACTGTCCCTATGCCAGAATCGTTGGCTTAACTGATGGCCTATCGGATGATGCAGGTGACTTCGTCGGAAAACCACACTCAACCGACAGTACAACCAACCACAACCAACCAGGATGCGGCCGGTGGCTGTGTGCCAACACGGCAGCAGAGGTGGAAGTGCTTTCGATTGTTCCAGAATCCCAAATCTTATGAGATCAACCGAAACCAGAAATCGAACCTTTGATTCAATCTCAGCTAATCCTTCCAATCACCACGAGGCCTTGCTACCCTGAAGTCGTGAACGGACCCTTGGGCAAGGTGATTGGATTTCGGGTGTTCCGGGTGGCAAGGTGCCGACACCGGCTGTTCGGGAAGTCAAGGAAGATGTTGAGGATAGCAGGGGCTGTTGGCAGTTGCCGAATCAGCCCTGTACCTAGAGAATGGTCCAAGCTGTCTCCTCGACGCAGCAGGCGGAGGAGAGAGTGCGCGCCTCGACACACGAAGTGGAGACACGAACAACAGCTATGGGAAATAACGAGGAACCTGAAGATAGATTGGTACAAAGGCTGTGTCGTCTATGTACCTAGGATGAGATGCGTGATGAATGCGATACAAGGCAATCGTGAGCTCACCTCTCCTGTAGAAGGAGCGAAGCAAATTACGCACAAGCCTGCGCAACCTCACACGGACTCTAACCCAACGTTGGCGCCTGGCCAAGTATGCAGGAAAGAACCTCCTTAGGATGAAGATTCGGATATCGTAGTACAGCTCTGTGAAGAAGTAAACCACACGTTCCCAAAGCGTAGGCCAACCCTCAGGCGTGGGCATACACTAATGATTCTGTGGTTCAGCAATATGGAAAGCTCCCTGTTGGCTGGGTGCCTAAGCAGGGGCAGAGGTTGGCAAGAATGTGAAAGAAGGACAGACTCTACCCGGTGGTTGGCTCTACCTACACGGGGAGTACAGATAACAGTGCAAATATGGAAAGAGATGTGGAATGGCGGGTAGGTCTCTCACAGACCAATGACACTCCGATTTCAAGCTCTACCCTAAGGGAGCAATATGGAAGGTGCTATGGCGTCGGTAGGCTCCTACACTACCTACACCAAGCAAAGCTGAGGCTGTTAACCAGTTAATTGCAGGGCAATCTCTGATTCCAAGACACAGTGATGATAACGCTTCTTTTGTGTCTTGAGCCAAATATCGGTGATAACGTCTTCGAGTGAAACTGCTTCAAGATGATCTACATAAGAACGGCCTGGGGGCTCGTGTTTTCTCAACTTGTACCAAAGTGAACCATATTTAGGACACAGACGATTTCTGGCCTTGCACATCCAGTCTGAGTTTTCCTCAGGGGTCCTGAAGCCGTGACTGCCTTCGTGCTTCTCTTCTATTTGATGTTGGTTGCGCTTGTGACTGAAGATCGACGAGTGGGGACCTGAAATCGAGCGTAGCATCGCCGAGCACGTATTCCCTGTTTCCAACCTGCTGAACAACTCACACACGAAGTGCCACGGGCACAACAGCTGAAATCAGCCAAGGGTCTTCATGAAATCCACAATTTTCTTTTGTTCTGCCATTAGGATCGATTGAGTATGTGTGATACCTGATGGCCGCAGCTGATGGCACTACGGCCAAAAGAGAACGCGGAGCCGGGGGTCCGGCGCCCGCCTGTCACCGTAGCTTGTCGTGAGGTGCCTCTGACAGCAAGCGATCTTACGACGAGGCTGTGAGAATCCTCAGATCTTCTGCGAGTCGGGTGGCCAAGGTGGGTCCGGACGGTCGCGTCGAGGATCGACCTCTGGAAATCCCCACAGACCCTCCTGCAATCGAGACACTTTCAAAGGGCCCATGGCAGGGTGAACCAGCCCATGGCTATTGCCTCGGACAGGGATGGCAAGTTGATGACAGGGGCATGCAAGTTGGACATTGGCGCAGATTTTTGCCAAGGCGCAGAATGACTGGAAGGCATCCCGCATGTCATTATGCAGGAACCTTGCAGCCGGCCATGCTCTCCTCGCAGCTCCAGCCGGCCTGAGCACGCGCTGCTCTTCTGCAGCCTCTTTCCCCCCGCCTCTAGCGCGCTTATCAGATCCAAGCCACTGCCAGGACGAGGTTCGGCGAAACACTTCTTGACCACCACCTACGCCCAAAGCAACTCAACCGGCTCTTGCCCACAAAAGAACGGCCCAAGGCCAGGGCCTCGTTAATGCTGATTAAAAGCCCCAGCCATAGCAAGATCCAGAGCTGTCCTTAGAGCTCGGTCCACAGCATGCGCCTAGGGGTCTGGCCGTTTTAAGGAAATCTGAGCCTTCGGCGTGTGCCACGACAGATACAGAAATCAGCTATCACAAAGAACACCTCAGCACTCAGGATTCTCTAAAGAAAAGCCGATCGTGGATTCACATAGCACGACGCTAAGATCACGAGCTCGGGCATTTCGCTCGCCGCTTACGGAGGTAAGCAATACAGAGGTGGGCAGCTCTGTTCCACAGAGCTACCGGGTCTCTCAGATTCTCAGGCGCCCGGAAGGCCCGCGAGTTGCTGGGCAGACCCAGCCCCTTCCACGACCTGTCAGCGGCGCGAAACACTGCACCCTGCGGCCTTGCAGTCGGGTAGCAGACTGGCCTCTCTTTTCAAGCCCTCCGCTGCCACATACTTCCAGGTCCCCCCTTCGCGCCGGTAAACGGAGCATTCTCGGAGAAGAAGCACCTGTCCACTATCCCGCTTCGAGCTGCCATACGCACCTGCATCACCTGCGCATTCCTGCCCGTCTGTCTGGCCTTGGGAACATCGGAAACCTTCTCAGGCTCTGCAGCAGCTTCTATGGTCACAGCAAACAGGTCCTTCATGTTGCTTTAAACTCAATGGTGCTGGGATCGTGATGCCAGTGGAGTCCTCTTCACGCTGCTCGGATGCAGTCACGTTCAAGCCAATGTACCGAAATCCCCGGTTGTTGCGCACAATCTGCTTCTTCCATGCTTGTCTATCCTCCTGGCAGTCGAAGCTGAAACAAATGAAAACCTGCTTCAACTGCAGGTACAGGGCAACGTCTCCTGAAAGTCCACGTGCGTCGCGTGGGTCGTGTCCTAGAACTTGCAAGAGGGCAGATAAACCTGCTACGCATGCGCTACAGCAACACTATCGGAAACACTTGGCGGAGGTGCGTGCATCCACCGTCCCGCTCTGGCCAATCATTCCGAGGCACTATCAAAAAGTCATATTTCTTCATGGCAAGAGCAGAAAACCTTGCTCGCGCCATCTTCTCAGGCGTGTCGGCTGCGGTCAAATCCTCGAGATGCGGGCTAAGCAACTCTGCCAAGCGAAAGGTTTTACCTGTGCCATTCTGTGGCTGTCCTTGTGAACCTGGCGACAGCACAGCTTGTACTGCTTGCCGGAGAGGCAAGGGCAACGCATCAACTTTGTTGGGGATCTAGTCGCCTCATCTCCAAACCTTAACTCACATCGGCCGAGACGACGTTATGCTGACGTGAATGCCATGGATATAGATATAACGTCAAGAGAACTCCACCTATCATCCGAGACACACCGCGGGAGAGCATGACAAAGGACAGACAGACACGCGAAGCCAGAAACAAATGCTTGATGAAGCACGAAATTGTGGCAGTCTGCTGAGGCTGTTTTCGCCTACAGCGTCTGAGACACGAAGGCTGCTCGAAAAGAACAATGGCGGGTTTTCGCTGGTGGAAAGGCTTGCAAACCACCTGGCGGCGTTCGTCCTGAATAAACCCTTTGTGTACCACGTGCGCACACATGCGTACATGCATACACGTATGCACGCGTACATACGCACACACGCATCCATCCATCCATCCATCCATCCATGCATCCATCCATCCATCCATCCAGGCAGGCATGCATGCATCCGTGCAGACATGTGTACGTACTGCCAACCCCACCTTACCCCACCCCGCCCCACCTTACCATACCATGCTGTTACCATTACCCTGCCCTACCCCCGCCCTGTTCCATGCCATATACCATAAACCACATACATACACACAATACGAGTGCTAAGAGAGATATAAAGCACTACGAAAATTGCATTAAAATATAATACAATGCACTACACTGCAGAACACCTCAGTGCAGCACAGAGCAGCATAGCGCAGAGCAGTGCAACACAAAGCGAGCCTGGCGCGACTCGACTCGACTAGACTAGCAAATAGGCAAGAATACTTACATGTACATGTATATTTACGTACTTATTTCTCAACTACAAATACTTTCTATAAGAATTTGCCCCCGGCCTGGCCATAGATGCCAGAATTTTGGAATGTTTGGAATGTTTGAGCATTACAGTGTTTCGTGAGTTTCAGGGTTAGAAATTTTGGAATTTTTTGAGCATAGCAGTGTGTCGTGGTTTAAAATTCACAAAGCACTGCAATGCTCAAAAAATCCACTTCTCATTGCCTCAAAGCTCACGAAACACTGCTATGCTCAAAAAATTCCAAAGTTTTAAGGAATTTGCCCCTGTCCTGGCCATAGATGCCAGAATCTTGGAATTTTTGGATTTTTTGAGGATTACAGTGTTTCGTGAGTTTCAGGGTTAGAAATTTTGGATTTTTTTGAGCATAGCAGTGTTTCGTGGTTTAAAACTCACAAAACACTGTAATGCTCAAAAAAAATCCACTTTTCATTGCCTCAAAGCTCACGAAACACTGCTATGCTCAAAAAATTCCAAAGTTTTAAGGAATTTGCCACCGTGCCAGCCATAGATGCCAGAATTTTGGAATGTTTGGAATGTTTTGAGCATTACAGTGTTTCGTGAGTTTCAGGGTTAGAAATTTTGGAATTTTTTGAGCATAGCAGTGTTTCGCGGTTTAAAACTCACAAAACACTGTAATGCTCAAAAAAAATCCACTTTTCATTGCCTCAAAGCTCACGAAACACTGCTATGCTCAAAAAATTCCAAATTTTTAAGGAATCTGTCCCCGGCCTGGCCATAGATGCCAGAATTTTGGAATTTTTGGATTCTTTTGAGCATTACAGTGTTTCGTGAGTTTCAGGGTTGGAAATTTTGGAATTTTTTGAGCATTACAGTGTTTTCTGATGTCCAGGACAGGATATATTGCATCACAGGATAATTGGGTGCTTTCAACCGTTGTCAAGGACTGGAAGTACTGCTTTATGTGCCTTCTGGAAAAGCAACGGTTTTCATTACTCTTGTTTGATAAGCATGAACAGTCCTGCTTCATGTTTGGAAGGTTGCAAGAGCTCTTTTGTTTCTTGCTGCAGACGAACCTTCTTGTGCGCCCGCATATGCACATGAACCTTTGAACTCCAGGGTGGCTTTCCCATTTCTTATGAAGCAAAGAACAACTATTGGAGTATTGCCTCAAAAATAAACGCGCCCGTATATTCGACTTCCTTCATGTATAAAGGACATGAAAGGAGCTCTTTGTATTTCGTAACTCATAAATCAAATGCTAGAGCGATTAGGCCGCATCAGAAGCAGACGCTTCACGAGCAGCGGGAAAAAGATGGCCCACGCACGCAGACGTCTTCGTAAGAGAGACAATAGTATTTTTATTATTCGAGGAGTGTTGTTAAATCACACACCATCGATGCAAAAAACACGAGGTTTTTAGTGTTACATGAACAAAATTAGCACGCCCTCCAGCATTTCAGCTTTTCCAACACATAAACTACCATAAATCCGCGGCCGAGATTCGGCGCCAGATTTTTACACATATCAAACCCGCGCCTTGCAGCAGCAAGGTTTGCATGCACATGAGGTAAAGCACGATTGTATCGGTATTTACAGTGTTTTCGGTGTATATGAGTAGTCGACCAATGTAGAAAAGCAACCTGTGGAATTGTGTGGAAGAGGCGGGTGTAGATCTTGGGGGGGTGACCATATACATATACATATACATACACATACACATACGCATACACATACACATATGCATATGCATATGCATATGCATATGCATATGCATATGCATATGCATATACATATACATCTACATCTACATCTACATCTACATCTACATATACATATACATATACATATACATATACATATACATATACATATACATATACGTATACATGTACATGTACATGTACATATACATATACATTTACATATACATAGACATATACATATACATATACATATACGTATACATGTACATGTACATGTACATGTACATGTACATGTACATATACATGTACATATACACATACACATACATATACATATACATATACATGTACATATACATTTACATGTACATATACATATACATATACATATACATATACATATACATAGACATATACATAGACATAGACATAGACATATACATATACATATACATATACATATACATATACATATACATATACATATACATATACATACACATATACATATACATATACATGCACATACACATAAACATATACATATACATATACATATACGGCGATGATTTTTAAATACCCGGACATCTAAACAAGTTAAACAGGTGTGTCATACTACTTCCGTGGGCATTGTCTCTGGGCCGCCCAATTTTAAAACACACGGAAAGACAACAACACGAGACTCCAGCCCGCAGACTCCGTCCTCCAACCTTCGCCTCTCCAGCCCTCTTCCCAGCCCTTCAGCCCTCCAGCCTTCCAACCCCTCCTGCCATCCAGCCAGCCTTCCAACCTTCCAGCTTTCCAGTTTCAGCCCCTCCAGCCTTCCAGCCCCTCCAGCCTTCCACCCTTCCAGCGCCTCCATCCAGCCTTCCAGCCCCGCCAGCCTTCCAACCTTCCAACCTTCTAGCCCTCCAGCCCTCCAGCCATCCAGCCTTCTGCCTTCCAGCCTTCCAGCCTTCCAGCCTTTCAGCCCTCCGGCCTTCCAGCCTTCCAGCCCTCCAGCCTTCCAGCCTTCCAGCCCGTCATTCTCAGGCATATTTTGCAAGGTACGGGGAAGGCTGGAGGGCTGGAGGGCTGGAAGGCTGGAGGGGCTGAAAGGCTGGAGGGCTTGAAGGCTGGAGTGGCTGGAAGGCTGGAGGGGCTGAAACTGGAAGGCTGGAAGGCTGCTGGAAAGCTGGAAGGTTGGAAGGCTGGCTGGATGGCAGGAGGGGTTGGAAGGCTGGAAGGCTGGAGGGCTGAAGGGCTGGGAAGAGGGCTGGAGAGGCGAAGGTTGGAGGACGGAGTCTGCGGGCTGGAGTCTCGTGTTGTTGTCTTTCCGTGTGTTTTAAAATTGGGCGGCCCAGAGACAATGCCCACGGAAGTAGTATGACACACCTGTTTAACTTGTTTAGATGTCCGGGTATTTAAAAATCATCGCCGTATATGTATATGTATATGTATATGTATATGTATATGTATATGTATATGTGTATGTGCATGTATATGTATATGTGTATGTATATGTATATGTATATGTATATGTATATGTATATGTCTATGTCTATGTCTATGTCTATGTCTATGTCTATGTCTATGTATATGTCTATGTATATGCATATGCATATGCATATGCATATGCATATACATCTACATCTACATCTACATCTACATATACATACCTGGTTCTTCGGATGGCTGCTAAAAACTTGCCCGCTCCCACAAAAAGCTCTTTCGGCACAAGAGGGCGGATATCACGAATCAAGGGCTCCAGGGGCCTGATCTGGGCAAATGTTCCAAGTGTTGTGCGCTTTCAGATTACGTGGGCGAATCTGGGTTTGACAGTCCTGGTGCTTCGCTTAGCTTTAGCTGTCGGCTCATCAACGTCATGCCATGCTGCCTGCCTGGCTGAAGAAGACAGTGTGCCCCAGCCCACTGTTGTTTGATTGTTCGACACGTACAAGTGAGTCTGTCATGGTGCCAGCTGCTTGTATGAAAGCCAACGCTGACTCGATGAACATTTCAGGCTCAGTTTTTTCAGCTTCCGGTGGTAAGTGCTCCAGAACAGACCGGCATTCTCGATGGCAAACACAGAGACGGGAATGAATGCTTCTCGCATGATTGCGGTAGCATACGACACAGGCACGGGTGGCACGGTGTTTCGTATTCGGTTGGAGTATGATAGTTGACCCCCAACCATTCCCTGTCAGGTCTTATGGATATGCCAGGGTGCTTTTGGAAGCAGGCGAACCACGTTTTGGATCCATCGGTGAGCCCGGAGGTGCTTCAGTGGCAGTGACGAAACTAGGAAATCAGTACAAGCCAGGTGAAAAGTTCGTAGGTCATGTAAAGTTTGCCGTCAGGATGAGATCGACGAGAAGCACTTCACGATGCTTCTTGAGAACTTTTACATGAAGGGAGCCACTTGGTTGTTGTGGCGGGCGTACAAGAAACTGAGTTCTTTGGCTGCAGGGTTGTGTTGAACTGTAATCTCTAGTGCCTGCTTGGTTGTGTGGCTAACGTATGTAGAAGCTGAGGCAGCAAATGATGTGAGCCCGAAGGCAGTTCTTGAGCGGCTGAGGG